AGGGTAGCTCTATTTTCAACTTTTTGAGGAACCTCCATACAGTTTTCCAGAGTGGCTGCACCAGCTTGCATTCCCACCAACAGTGTAGGAGGGTAGGGAGAAGAGATTTTTAAGAAAGGTGAACAATTCTGCGTTTTCAAAATATTAATCCTTGAAATTACTTCTTAAAAGTCACTGCTTGGAATTCAAAGATTGTCTACGCAAGAATGTCTTTCCAAGATTTAAAAATATTTTAAGTCTAGGCTCTTATTTTTAAAGTTGTCACGGTTAAACAGAAATAAAGGAAACAAGGCAAATAGTTTCATCAGTGAGAATTTCCCTCTTGTTAATACAACTCGCTTGTATTAACTCAAGGTTTTTATACCTTCTCCTTCAAGTGTCTTTGAATCTCCTCCAAATAGAGGAGCTCTTGAGAGCGTCCTGAGCCTCGGGTCTAGAAAGCAGCCAGGGGGACGCATCAGGTGGCTGCACAGGCCGGGGCAGGAAATAACAGCAGGCAGAAAGAACCACTGGCGCCACGTCTTTTCCCTTTGGATCCGTTTCCTTTTCTTCACCCACAGTTACTCTCCCTGGAGACTCTGACACTCCCTCATGGCTTTCACCATACGACCTCATGTTAAATAAGGCTGTGCTGCTTTCATATCTTGGCTATCGTAAATAATGCTGCAATGAACATAAGGGTGCATAATAAAAGAAGAAAGAGAAAAAAGAAAAAAAAATGTTTTTGTTTTTTTTTTAAAGCTTTGCTTTCGGTCAACTTTTATATCTCTCTGTTTCTCTGTGAGCAGCTAATTCAATCACTTTCATATTGCCTGACTCCGTCAATCCTGAGAAAAGTTCACTGAAACAAGCTGGGTGACTGGTTAGGAAAGAACAGGAAAAGAAGGGAGAGAAAAGTGCCCAGCTTTGTGACTAAATTGATGGTCATCTTTTGGTTGATAATACAGGTAGAACAGACATACTAGTTATAAAGGATAATCTGGGGGCTCAGGGAGTGTCTGCACCCCACCCCCATCTGTGTCACCCAGCCATATTCAACAAACTGATCTTGTTTCTTTTTTTTTTTTTAAAGATTTTATTTATTTATTTGACAGTGAGAGACACAGCGAGAGAGGGAACACAAGCAGGGGGAGTGGGAGAGGGAGAAGCAGGCCTCCCGCAGAGCAAGGAGCCCGATGCAGGGCTCGATCCCAGGACCCCGGGATCATGACCTGAGCCTAAGGCAGACGCTTAACAACTGAGCTACCCAGGCGCCCCCTGATTCTTGATCCCAAAGCCCTTTGTGCCGATCATCATACTGTTGCTGTTGCTGCCAGTAAGGCATGCTTTATTTTCCTCTCAATGAAGCGCAGGTATTAGATTAGGTGGAAGTGAGTTTATCCTAATGGCTTATTATCTCTGCAGGCAATACTCTTCTTGATAAAGTGCTTAAGCTGAACACAATTCTGCTAGCTATGCAACATTGCTCCACCACTCAGAAACTCATTTACCTATATTGATATAAGTAAATCTCTGTACACATTTAGTTTCCAGCATCCTCATCAAGGGAATTAGTTAAGCTTTTATCACAGCATGTGCTGACCAGTGTTGAAGCTACTTATGATATGGGATTATATTTTTAAAAAAATTTTGGACATGTAAACCAATAACCTTTTAATTTTTTCATTTCAGATTCACTCATCCCATACATCATTACTCAAAATGAGCAAAGGCTATATTTTGTCTCATGGAACCTTCGAACACCATGCATCTGTTTACACGCGACAGCCCCAAAAATTATTAAAACCAGATGTTATCCAGGATCCTCATGGAAATAAGTCTTTATGGGTAGCTAAATTTTCCAGTTAGATGAAGCTTTACTATTTTAAGAACTTTATTCTAATGATCTTAGTTGGAAGCTTTGGAAAATAGGATTCATATTCTCTGTTTTCCTAAAAAAAAGTCATGTGATCATTTAGGAACAACATTATAAACACCAGTAAAATCCAGCGACCACTTGCCCCTAGACTGATGTGCTTTCATATTAGTAAATGGGATTTGCGCTGCTCTTCTGTATTTTCCTTGTTATCATCAGCCCTTCTCTTCTCCTTCTATTTTGCTACCTCAAGTCAATCATGAGTTTAGAAGCTAGATTACAAATCTTAATAGAACTGTGTATATTAAATGTAAATAGATACTGTATAAAAAGCTGATTTTTATTTTTTTATAAACATGGCGTATCTTTCCTTTTATGTAGCCCTATTCATCTTTTTTTGTCTTTTTAGTTTTTATTGACATTCCAGTTAGTTAGCATACAGTGCAATATTAGTTTCAAGTGCACAATTTAGTGATTCAATACTTACATTCAACACCTGGAAAAACGGATTTTTTAAAAAAACACACAAGCTTTGCTGCAGTGTGGTATTCAAGCAAGTTGCTCAGAGGCCTTTTTGCTTTCCTCCTGTGCCCTGTGCACGTGTCCTCAGCTTGCTTCGCTGGTGGGGATGGGGAGACAGAGGTGTGACTTGAGGATAAGCAGCATCTGAATAAATGAGTTATCCCTGAAGGCAGAACTCTAAGAATCAGATATATGACATTCCTTGGAACGTTTCAGTCTCCAATGCCACTTAGAAGCATGGATGTAGAATTTGGTGGTCCATATACGAGGGGTGGGGCAGAATTATTAAGGGAGGAAAGAAAAATCACTCCAGTTTTATGTGAGTATAGTCATTATTATGCAATGATGGCTCAATTATTGTCATGTATATGGTATTCTGTGGGATTCGGATGCTTCCTGGATGTTTGAGGGAGAGAGAGACAGGAGACAAGACAGAGACAAAATCATGTTGTCAGTGAAAACTATAAAACATACATTCTCAACAGAAGTGAAAACTGGCTCTCAGGAGGAGAAAATCCTATTTTTACGTATAAAGCACAGAGCATATACAGCAGATAAATAGATATACAGCACATGTGTGGTATTAAAGTTTCAAAGGAGTGGTATTAGAAAAAAATGTTTAAAGAGCCTCCTTGGGTGGAGTGACATTATGAGAAAAAGGCTGAGACACACCACTGTAAGACATACAATCTGAGACGGGCTCCTCTGAACGAAGGGCAAAGGCTGGGCTATTGGCCGACGTGGGCAAGAGCAGCAGGGTCTACAGGTACCATTATTCGCGTATCCACAGACAGCCCCGTCTCCTCACTAACTTCCTTTCTCCTATTCACCTACACCACACCCTTTACCACAGGGGAACCACCTGCCTTTCTCCAAAGTGGCATTCCATTTCTTGATGCTGAGCCTTTGCACATGCTGGTCCTCTGACCTGGGATTCTCTTCTCTCCCTTTTTTTTTTTTTTTAAAGATTTATTTATTTATTTGAGAGAGAGAGAGAGTACATGAGAGGGGAGAGGGTCAGAGGGAGAAGCAGGCTCCTCGCTGAGCAGGGAGCCCTATGTGGGACTCGATCCTCTTCTCTCCCTTTCTTACCTGCTCTCTCATCCTTCAATATCCAACTCAAGCATCATCTCATCCAGGAAGGTTTCCAGATGTGTGCAAAACAACAACAACAAAACTAACCAACCAACTTAAAAAAGCAGGATAAATCGACGACAGCAATGTTGTACCATTGAAGGTCGCTGACTTTGAGCACAGACCTGGATGTAGTAAGAGACAGAGCCATACGATGATTTGTAGAAGTGTTTTGGGTAGAAACAAATACCCTGAAGTCAAAGCAGGTCGTCAGACTCATAATAGGTCTCTGTGTAGCTGAAAACAGCAACAGAGAAGGGAAGTCACAGGAAATTAGGTGGGAAAGGTAATGGGGAGTCATATTATATAGGGTACTGTAGTGTAGGACTTTGAATTTTCTACCAAATATGATGGCAAATTACTAGAGCATTAAAAGCAGGGTGTACCATGAGCTGACTTATGGATTTAAGGCCACCCCATTGGCTGCTGTATGGAGAACTGATAGCAGAGGTATAAAAATCAAAGCAAGGAGGCCAGGTAGAAGGCTGGTAGGAGAGCGTCGTGAACACAGCGGTCACTTGGACTAGTGTGTTAGCCACTAAGTGGGTGAGAAATGGCCTAGAGTCCTGTGCCCCTTCCATTTTCCTGGACACGTACTACTCCCCGAACTACAAACTTCAGTTCAAGTACCCAAACGTCTAGAAACCTGGCCCAACCACCCCAGACTGATGAGCGTCGCCCTTCTCAGGACTCTCACAGCTCTTTGTATGTTCTTCCAAGTCTGCACTTCCCTTATTCCATTGTAATACTTAATTATCTATCTGTCTTTTGTACCATACTGCAAGCTCTAAGGCTTAATTTTATGTGTCAACATGAGTGGGCCACAGGGTGTCCAGATATTTGGTTAAACATTATTTCTGGGTATGTCCGTGAGGGTGTTTCTGGATGAGATTAACATCTGAAGTGCTAGACAAAGTAAAGCAGATCACTCTCCCCAGTGAAGGTGGGCCTCATTCAATTCGTTGAAGGCCTGAACAGAATAAAGGGCTGAATAAGAAAGAGTCCTTTCTCTGTACCTGTCTCCGAGCTGGGCCATTGGTCTTCTCTTGCTTTTCGCCTCGGCTTCAGACTGGAAGTTATCCCACTGGATCTTTTGGGTCTCCAGCTTGCCGATGACTCCAGGTCTTGTACTTCTCCACTTCCTTCTCAGATTTCTTATAGTAAATCTCTCTACATCTGGAGTAAATCTCTATATCTATACCAATTTCTTACAGAAAATCTCTCTAAATCTATTCTATATCTAGGTACTCTAGTGAGTCACCACTTCAGAGCTTTACTGCTTAACAGATTTCCTTGGCATAGTTTTGGTGTGGGCATCCAGTTTTGTTTTTTTTTTTAAAATGTGCTCAGCCAGAAAGGCCATGTCCATGTGGCTGTGGCAGTTACAGTTCTGTGGTTTCACGTTAGTTACCTAATAATTTCTGTGTAATTAGTGCCACTTAATGTATGTTACCAAAACTAAAGATATTTACCCCAGACTGCAAAACCTGTATTGGTTTTTAAAAAATAACATCCGATGGAAATTTTTAAAAAATAATAAATCGGTATTTCCATATCCTATTTGTTCTGTTTCTCTGGAGAACCCAGACTAATACAGGCTCCTTGAGGGCAGACTATTTAATCGTCTTGTGCTATAGACTAAATGTTTGTATCCCGCCCCGCAACATACATTCATATGTTAAATCCTAATCCCTAATGTGATAGCATTTAGAAGTGGGAACTCTGGGGGATGATTAAGTCACTAGCATAGAACCCTCATAAACGGGATTAGTGCCCTAATAAAAGAGATTTCAGAGAGCTCCCTCCCTCCTTCTGCCGTGTGAGGACACAGTGCCTGTGAATCGGGAGGCAGTTTCTCACCGGACACCACATCTGCTGGCACTGTGATCTAAGAGTTCCCAGACTCCAGAACCGTGAGAAATAAATTTCTGTTGTTATAACCCACCCAGCTGATGGCCTTCTGTTACAGCAGCCTGAACGGACTAAGACAATTTGACACCAGTAAGGCCCAAGACAGTACTAGGCACCCAGTAATAACAGCCAACATCAATAAGCTTGCACATTGTGTTTCAGCATCTTAGGGGTGGTGTTTCAATTGATACAACAAGGTGATGAGGTCGGTATTCTTATTACCCCATTTTCAAATGTGGAAACTAAAGCACTGGGGGTTAAGTGACTCGTCCAAACCCATAGCATGGGCCGTAGAACTAGCTAGGAAGTGGTTGCAGTTGTCTCAAACTCATCTCTCTAAAGGCAGAGACGTCACTTGCAGCCATTTTGCAACTCTACCATAGTAAATGTTTTGTTCTTGACCTTGGAGAGAACCCAAATTGGTTTGAGATTAAAAATAGATTGAGTGAAATTATCAGTAATTATTAAACATCTTGTTCAGTCTCTAGTGACACATCTCAGTGCCTCTCTGCTATAGTTTTTCTGGTAAAAGAGGCACTGGTTTGGGCTAAAGTTCCCTGAGGCTGAGGATCACAAGAGTGCACTTCTTGGGTTTGCCAGGAGCATGGCAGTTGAGTAGGTCAGCCTTAGTGGGCCTGCAGGATCCTCTGGAGCAAATACACTGTTGATCATTTTCAACTAAAATTGTCCTACCTTCATCTATTGCTGAAATGGCTGCAGACCTACTGTTTAATCAAATAGCATTCTGGCTTATTTGCCTAGTTACAATAACAAATCTGTACTCCTCTATTCACACAGACATCCTTTGAAAGGATCACTTACGCTTTTAATTGACTAAATATGATCGATGCACAAAGCACAATGAGCTTGCCACCTCAAAGCATTTTTAGAACAAAGCCAAGTGTAAATGAACCCACAAACAAGCAACCAACTAAACCCACAACTTTGGCTTACCTATCACAATGTGCTGATGAAGCTTAGCAACCACCAATGTGAAAACATTTTCCCAAGAGAGACACATGGGAAGAACCTCCTCTGCCAAGCACGTTCAGTGAAGAGAAGCCTGATGATTTGCTACACGGAGAGCTTCTCTTTCTTCAGGCTGACAGAATATCATTAAACTTATTTAGCAGAATTTTTACCTTCGCTCTTTTCTCCTGCAAAAGACCTAGGTGTTTTTTTTGTTTTCATCGCTTTGTTCTTTTCCTTTGCTGACACTGGGTGTTGGACTGCTCTGGGAAACTAGGCAGAAGAGGTGCATTGCTTTTCTCTTTTAGCTTATACTCTAAAGTTGAGGTGTTCTCATCACCTCCTTTCTCCCACCCACTCTTCACCTGTGATTTCAGAAAGCCTATTGTTTTTATGTAAACCTAATCAAGTCTTAGTGAATTATTCCCAAATATCATATCAAACATTAAGAATACAAAATATTAGCAGGGAGGCTGTGACTTTCAGGCTGTGATTTTGCTCAGAAATCAGTGGGCTTATTTTTCTAGTCTTTGTCGTCCTTTCAACAAAGGACCAAAGTAGTCCTTAAAGAGACTGCTGTGTTTGCAGATCAGAGGTGGAGGCTCACAGAGTTCTTCTGAAAATGAAGGAAAGCTCCCTTACCAAGGCTAACATACCACAGATTTTTATAGTGTTCCTTGACAAGTGGGATTTCATACTTATAACTTGTAACTTTTTTCTAATGTTCAGGGTCTTTTGTGGCCAGGGACACAGGTAAAAAGAAGTAGAAGGGATAGGAGAAGGTACAGAATCTGAGCTGGAAGTGTACCTATTTATGGAGGGCTGGCCCTTGACCCATGTTGGGAAGTTGGTAAAGAAGGAGCCTCAGCTCTACTAGCCCCTCATTTTAAAAGGTGCCTTCTTTTGTCCTCCCCATCCCAGAGGTGTCTCCTTCCCATTCCTTAGGTTTTTTCCAGCTTCCCTACCAAAGCCTGTTCATGGAGTCAATAGAAAATGTGACAGTGTGGAATACTGGAAACAGTACTCAAATACAATCAGCTTAGTCCTGGTCCCAACTTCACCATTTACTACTGGTTTGACTTAGGGCAAACGGTTCAACTCTGACCCTCTGTTTCTTCATCTATAAAATGGGGATCTCTTCCCAGTTCACTTCACAAACCTATTTTTTAGGATCAGGTAAGAAAAGGCTTGGGTGTGTTCTACAAAATCTAAGTACTGTGCAAATACAAGACACGATCGATTTCTACTTGATTATCTTGCACTTGGTGCTCAGTGGATACTCTGAGTAATTGCTAAATGACTGTACTGTCTCAGTTATTGTTCTGAGAGATATCTGCAATTCCACAGGGGTAAATCTGGCATAATTGGAAAGGGAAACTTAACCACTAAACTCATTCTTCCTCAATCAAATAGAATAATCAAGTTGAATAATCAAATTGCATTGTTAAAATCAATTTTTAGGTACCATGGGGCTGGTACATGGCTAGCAACCTCAAACTGAAGACCGATCTCCTCATCCTAAAGGGGATGATGCTGTAGTCACTGATGGTTCCATTACCAAATAGTGCCAACCTGTATGGGTTCCATTATATACCAGAGAAGCTGGACAGTAAAACAAAACAATAAATTACATTTCTAACATTGCCTTGAAACCAGGGCAGGCATGTAACTTATTTGCCTCTCAGTAGAACGCACAGTGAGGTTTGGACACAAGAGCTGAGTGCATAAAGTAATGCATACGGGCCTTATGGCAAGCACAGTGGTGAAGGCTTCTGGGTTTTCAGGGGCAACCATGGCAAACTTCCAGCACCCAATACCTTGATTTGCTTGACTAAGAAATCACTGCATTTGACAGTCTACTTAGAAATGACTAAATTAGGGCGCCTGGGTGGCTCAGTTGGTTAAGTGACTGCCTTCGGCTCAGGTCATGATCCTGGAGTCCCTGGATCGAGTCCCGCATCGGGCTCCCTGCTCAGCAGGGGGTCTGCTTCTCCCTCTGACCCTCCCCCCTCTCATGTGCTCTCTCTCTCTCATTCTCTCTGTCTCAAATAAATAAATAAAATCTTTAAAAAAAAAAAAAGAAATGACTAAATTATGTCTTCTTCCATGAGGGATAACGGGAAATAAGAGTCAGATATTACAGCAATTAAGGACAAGTAAAATTATATAGAGGACCCTTGAACAACGCAGGGGTTAGGGACACATAACTTTTGACTCCCCCAAAACTTTACAAGTAGCCCGCTGTTGACCTGAAGCCTTACAGATAACAGTCAATGAACACAAATTTTGTATGTTGTATGTATTATATGCTGTATTTTTACAATAAAATAAGCTAGAGAAAAGAAAATGCTATCAAGAAAATCATAAGAAAGAAAATGCATTTTCTGTACTGTATTTATTGAAAAAAATGTGCATATCAGTGGACCCATGCAGGCCAAACCTGTGCTGTTCAAGGGTCAACCGTATTTTTGTAAAACGCTTGTGACAATGAAAAATCCAACTTGCTATATCATCTATTTTGAAGATGGTTCCGTATCAATACATGTAGATTGATCACCTTTTTTTTTTACCTTGCTTTTAAGGTATATTGTGTTTCTTTTTTACTTAGGTAACTCCATATATCATTGCAAACTTGGAAAGAAGTTTTTTTAGTAGCTGCACAAGATTTCATTGTATGTATACACCACGATTTATGGATCCACGGCTTCATTTTTACACATTTCTGTAACACATTTTTGCTATACTAAAAACTCTGTGCTAAAAATTCTTTTGACATTTTGAATTATTTCCTACAAAATATCCATCATCAAGTTTTATGTTAATACTTTTGGTCATTTCCATATTTCAGAAACTTAAATTTAAAAAAAGAAAAGCTTTCCAAAGAACATTCCTTACACTAACAATCCTTATTTATAAGGGAAACTGGAAGTGAAGTATTCCCCTTTTATAGCATCCTACAAGATGGAAATTC